ATTGTGCGAACATCTACATGGACCAAAAAGAGACAATAATTCGAGTCATATGCTGGCACTGTGCGCCTAATAGGCCTGTGTATGCACAAAATAACCTGGCAAATGGCTCGAAATTTATCCGCGGACTGGCAAAGTAGCAGTCGGAAACCCCAGTGCAATCACTCTCGGAAGCGATTTCCACCCCACTAAGAAGCAGCTGTGGTTACAAAACCCTGATGTACGGAATGCTGTTTCAGCTTACAAAATACATTTTCTTCAAAAATTTCCATTTCCAAATTTGGTTTAATGCTATAAATAGCTGCTGCTTCATCGCTTTGTTCCCACTTGCAGCTTCTTTATTCTGCCCTAATCCGAACTGGCCGTAGCTACGTAATCCCACGTGAACGTTCAAGCGAGTTCTTCCACCGCGTTAACCGCCTTAGTTTTTATGCGTTTTTTTGCATCTATGCATGCAGAAAATGCATATTGACGAAGGGTGTTCTGTGTGTGTGTTTCTGTGTGTTCATCTGTACTGATTTTTCATCTCGAGACCTACAAAAGCCACAGGGCTGAAACTTTGGGAACTTAATCTACATGCATGCATGTGCGAGCCCCCATCCCCAAAATGGGCGGCTTTACCCGCGTGGTACCCACGCACGGGCTCGTGAAAGTTTTTTCGGGTAAGTTGCTAACTCGGAAACCTGAAAAATTAGACTGTAATTTTAAGGGAATGTTCCCCGCTCACGTAGGTATTAATGAACTCAAACCTAGCTCCCGGGTATAGTCATTCCCACGTATGAGCCTGTGAAAGTTTTTTTTTGGGGTAATTTTCTAACTCGGGAACCTGAGAAGCTAGAAGACTGGAATTTTGAAGGGATGTTTCCTAATAGTCCTGGCGGTCAGTCTGAAATTCCTCTGGCTAGAAGCATCTGCCGGAAAAAACAGAGCTATTAGCAACAAAAATCTGCGGAGAGCTATGCAAAAAACGCATCTTCGCACGGGCAATCCGTGCGTTGGCCAATCATCTCGAGAACTACAAAAGCTACAGGGCTGAAACTTTGAGGAATTAATCTACATGCATGTACGGGCTCCCATCCCCGAAATGGGCGCTCTTACCTGTGTGGTGCCCACGTACTTACCTGCGGAAGTTTTTTACGGGCAAGCTGATAACTCGGGAACCAGAAGAACTAGAAAGTTGAAATTTTAGGGAGGTGTTCCCCGTCCTTGTAGGTCTTAATAAGTTCAGACCCAGTCCCCAGTTATGCGTGGTTCCCACGCACAAGTTCGCGATAGTTCTTTGTGGGTAAGTTGCTAACTCGAGAATCAGGAAAGCTAGAAAGCTGAAATTTTAAGGGGATTTTTCCTGACAGCCCTGGCGGCCCGTCTCAATTCTCTTAACTAGAAGCATCTGCCGGAAAAAACAGTGCCGTCAGCGAAAGATCTACGGGAACTATGCAAAAAACGCATCTTCGCAGCGACAGTCGGTGCACCGGCCATTTATTAGTAACTTTAAAAAATTGTTCAAGGACCATGCTTTGGAACTGGGAAATGCTCTGCCGAAGAAGCCGCTGTTTTTTGTGAAATCCGTGAACAGCTATGTATCAGAGGGGCGGCCAATTGTTGCACCGGCGGGCTGTAACAAATTACACCAGGAAGTGGAACTAGGCGTGGTTTTTAGCAAGCATGCCAAAAATGTGCAACGTAATCAGGCATTCAACTACATT